CGCGGTCGAACGCGCGATCGGCGCCAGGACAAGGCGGAGGGGGGGGCCCATGGGAGGGGTGGAAAGGAGGGGCCCCCGTGGCTGAGGCAGCGGCGCAGGCACGCGGCCCCTTGCGCGGGGTCGATGCCTCGTCGCGCTAGCCGCTCCATTCCATGATGCGGACGCGGAGGACGCATGTCTGCCCGGTGACTTTGCCGCTCAAATCGTCGACGAACGGCTGGCGCGCGGGGGGGGGGCCAGATCGGGCGGCGCGAGCCGGGCGCACCCAGGCGGAAGGGAGGCGCTGCTGCGTCTGGCGCAGGTGCTGCCTGCGGCGCACCTGCGAGCTTTCGCGCGGGCGCGGCCTTTGGCACTGGCCGAGCCTCGGGCGCGCGCTGCGCGATGCTCGCTGGCGACTTGCGCTGCGCAGGCACGTTTTCCAAGCGCTCTGACAACGGAGGGGCGCTGCCACGGCTCAAAAAAGGAGCCTATGCAATTTCTTCGCGATCACGGCCACACGCTGCCAGCCCCCCCGCTCTCCCGCAGCGCGCGCGGCGCCCGCGGGCTAGCCTCCTCGCCCTCGCGAGCGGCGATCAGGGCGCGCAGCTGGATCGCGCACTTGGCAATGTCTTCGCAATCCCCGCGGGAAGTGGCGCGTTGAGGGGCGCCTGCAAACTCCCCACTGTCTCGACGCGTTCCTGGGGCGGTTCCCGCTCGACCGCGTCAAGAACGGAATCGGCGCCCTCGGTCGCGGCAGGCGCGCCGGTGGCCTCAACCTGGGCACCCTGCGAGTCCTGTCCGCTGTCCCCGGCCGCGCCCGCGGGCGGCGTCGCCGCGCCATCATGCGCCGGGGCGGGCGCGGCGCGACGCGGGCACGGTGGGCCGCCATCGCTGTCGGAAGCAGACCCGGAGAAGTCGACTGCCTCAGTAGCAATCTCAGGGTCGAGTCCAAAAGTGACGCCTGCCTTTGGCGCCGCCATCTGGCGGGCGCTGGACGCAGCGGGCTGGGAGTGAAGCTGCGCGCGCGAAGCGAATTGCTGGCTGGAGCCGATATGCGATGGCAACCAAGGGGCGGTCAAGCTCCAAGGTCGACCTAGATGTCCAAAGATTGCCAAGATGCCCCCCCATGGTGGCGTAGATAACCAAATATTGCCTCCAAGATGGCACGATGAAGCCCAAGGTGGCACAATATAACCTAGATGTTCTTCCTCACCGTGGTTGTCGTCGTCGCCCCCTCCAAGATGGCGCAGTATTAGCCGCTCGTGCGGTGCCGCTCGTGCCCTTCTGCGAGGGCACCTGCAGCGGCCTGGCCTCGGCCGTCGGAGGCAACACAGCGCAACACATGGGCAACCACTCGCTGGCCATGGCCTGGGTGGACATCCTGTTGGGGGTGCTCGAGGAGGAGTGGGGCGGCCACGGCCCGCCGGTGGCGCGGCCAGCTTTGGGCCGCGCCGCCCTGTGCAACCAGCTTTGCCAGCTTAAGCGGGGCGGCTTCGTCGAGGAAGTCGTAAATCTGGCAATCGCTCAGGCATCGAGACCGGCCCTCGACGACGACAAGGACGTCCGTCCCGACATGCACCGTGCCAGGGTTGTGGTTCCGAGGCCATTTGAAAGTTCGTTTGGATCTCGTGGTACGCCTCTCGGGGGCTTCTGGGCTATAGGTTTGAGGGGTCTATTGGGGAGCCTGTTTGGGGGCGGCTTTGGGGCCTCTTGGAGGTCTCTTGGGGCCTCTTGGGGCCCTCTTGGGGCCTCCTGGGGCACTCTCGGGGCGGAAAGTTAGACTTTTGAATGTTTGGTCGCCCTCTGGGCCCACTCTTGGTACCTTCTCGGTGCCCTGTGGGCCCTCTTGGGCGCCTCTTGGGCTGTCTGCGGGCCCTCCAGAGCTGTCTTGGGGTCGTCTTGGGGCTGTCTTGGGGGCCTCCGGGGCTGTCTTGGAGCGCTCTGGGGGGCCTCTTCGGCCGTTTTGGATCGTCGGCAAAGTGAAAAGGCGAGAAAGCAAAAAACATCGAAAACACACACAATGGAGAATCTACGATTTTGACCTTTCGGGGCCCCCTTCGGAGGCTTCTTTGAGGCTCTTAGGGCGTCTTGGGGGCTCCAAAAGCTGTCTTGGGGCCATCTTGGGCGTCTTCGGGGCCTCTTGAGAGTCTCTTGGCCATCTTAAGGCCCGCGTGGCCTGTCTTGGGCGTCTCCGGGAACTCTCCCGGGGGCCCGGCGCGCGCACGAGGAGTCTAGGCAGCTGGCCGGGGGCCTCTCCGGGAACGCCCCCGAAAGCCGGGGGCACTCATGAGGGGTCGGGGCACCGGGCTGGGGGCCCCAATCACAGTAGGCAGGTGTATGCATACATATATATATATATACATACATACATACATACATACACATACACATACATACATACATACATACATACATACACACATACATACATACATACATACATACATACATACATACATGCATGCATGCATGCATGCATGCATGCATGCATGCATGCATACATGCATGCATACATACATACATACACACACATACATACATACACACACATATGCATACAAACATATAAATAAACATACATGTATACATACATACATACATACATACATACATACATACATACATACATACAAGCATACAAGCATACATGCATACATACATACATACATACGTACGTACGTACGTACGTACATACATACACACACACATGCATACACAAATGCATACATACATGCATACATGTATATACATGTATGCATGCATACATACATCCATCCATACATCCACGCGTAGATACATGCATACATACATGCATGCATGTATGTATACGTACATGCATGCGTACATACATACATGCATGCATACATACATACATGCATGCATACATGCAGACATGCATACCGGCAGACCGACAGATTGACAAGCATACATGCATACATGCATACAACATTATATTCTGTGATAGCACAGAACAACGCATTGCATTGCATCGTGTTGCATTACAATGCGTTGCATTACATACACATATACATACATACATACATACATACATGCATGCATGTCTACATATACACAAACATACATACATGCATGTGTGCATGTATCCATACATACACACATACATACATGCATACATACATACATCTAGCCCTGCATGGATACATGCATACATGCATACATGCATACAGACATACAAACGTAGTTCATGCATACGTATATACATTCCGTTGTGCATACCCACATGCGTACCGACATACCTATATATCTACATACATACATACATACATACATACATACATGCATGCATGTATACATACATACATACATAGATGCATGCATACATACATACATACGTAACACATGCATGTATACATACATACGTACATACATACGTACATACATACATACATACATAAATACATACATACATACAGACATACAGACATACATACACACACATACACACATGCATGCAGACAGACAGACAGACAGACAGACAGACAGACAGACAGACAGACAGACAGGCAGACACACCTACATGCAGACATACATACACACATACACACACATACATATATGATTGGCGCACCGTCGAGTGGCCCAAGCAGCAGCTGGAGCGGGCGCGCGATGAGGCCTTTGACAAGGCCAGCGACCGGATGGTAGAGGCCGAGTGCCAGCGGCTGTAGGCGCAGAAAGCAGTCGGCACGCGCGGCAATGACGAGGAAGAGTCCTGCTCCAGGGTGGATCGAAAGCTGTTTGAATCCTTGGGCGAGCTAGAGCCGACCGACAAGCAGGCGCTGCAGACCTTCCAGAAACAGCTGGAGGAGGTCACGGAGCAGGCGAACGAGAAGCATAAGGAATTCCAGGCTTGTGTGGAACAGGCGAGGTCGGCTCACAAGGAGGCCGCCGCCAAGCGCCGCCGCCGCGACGAAGGCGGCGCGACCGTGCGCGGCGAAGGCGACCCCGCCTCGCAGGCCTCGGGAGCTGCCGCGGCGGGCCCAGGCGGTGCCGCCGCGTGCGCGGCTGCTGCGGCCCCCGTCCAGGTCCGAGGGCGACCGCAAGGCGCTGCGCGAGGAGCTGCGGGCCAACGCTGAGGGCCAGGCGCAGCTGGCCGAAGGCGTGGGCAAAGGCGCGGCAGGGGTTGCTGGCGCTGCCGCTGCCTGCCGGCGGGGCGCCCCAGTCCCAGTGCTCGCGGGCAGCGGCCTGTCTGCTGGGGCGACGCAGCGGCAGGGGCACCTGGGCACGATTCGGAGGAGTCCTCGCTGGACATCCTCTTCGGCAGCATCAAGGAGTGGGAGGGCCGCAGGCGGCGCGATACCTGACCCGGGGGCAGGATCGCCGCATCGCGGCCTTTGTGGAGACGCTCCGAGGGAAGGATGGCATTCCAGACATCTGCAACGGCCTGAAGAAAGATGGCCGGCGGTTGGTACACACACCCGCGCGGCCGTCTGGCAAGTCGGAGAGTGGCCTCTCAGGAGGCGATGGACAGTGACGAAGAAACACACTGCATCAACGGGCTTTGAAAGTGCCCGTCGAGCTGCCCTTGATGAAGAACGCCTCGATCCACGCCAAGGCTTCGCGCCGCTGGCGCTGCTCGCAAAGGCCGGCAACCTCGCGCTGATCGCAGCTCACTTGCAGCCAGGGCTTGGAGTGAGAGGCCGTGGCGCCTCCACGCGCAGCCTAGCCGACCCGCGGCTGGTGTTGGCCGATTGGAACATCGATCCTGCGCCGTTCACAGCTACGGGCTGGCCTAAGAAGCTCGGGGCCACCATCGTCGCACAGTCGCGCAGAGGCACGCGTGATAAGGGCGTCGGTCGCATCTATGATAGCGGCCGGGAGAGCCGCGGGTCTCCCGAGTTGAAGCCGACTCCAGATCTGAATGTGCCGTGGAAGACTCATTGTGGAGTTAATGCGAAGATCAGAGCTGCCCGGACTACTCGCTGACATTGGCATATCCTCGTCCCTCTGGCTCTTCCTACTCGTGAATGGCCGCGGGCGCTGCCCGACCCTGAGGGCAAGAGGTCGAGGAAGAAGGGGGCCTCTCGTCTGCAGCGAATTCAGCAGCTACCTGAAGAGTACCACGACGCGTTCGAGGACCTGCACCCGCAGGAGGTCGAGGAAGAGAAGGTGAGCTTCGACATCTGGGAGGAGAGTTGGCGTGAGGCTGAGCTGCAAATCTGCTGGGAAGGTGCGCCCACCGCCATGGACGACGATGCTGAAAGCGTTCGCCTCCCTGCATGTGATCGCGATGCTCACTGTGTCTTCGAGTGGGAACCTGAGGCCTGCCCTCAGACTGATGCGCGAGATCATCACTGGGTCAGCGCCATGGAGCGCGCGACGCTGCTGCACGAGGGCGTGGACTCTTATAAGTGGCGACGCTACTCACGCCGAGCTCGAGGGCCTGATTGCAGCTGGAGGCATCTGCGCTCTACGCCAGGTCGCGCACACATGAAGAACGAGCAGGCGGAGTGGTGGGGCGCGACTGGCTCCCTGATAGTGAGGCACGCCGCGCTGCGGCGCAACGACAGCGACCCTGCGCAAGCTGCCCAGTGCGCGCTGAAGGCCCTGGCCCTGATCGAGCAGCTGGACTCCGCCAAAGACGACGAGTATTTCGCCAAGAAGGCGAACCCAGATGACATCTTCGTCTGGAAAGGGCTGATCGCCAACGTGGGCGTGACGCAGGTGGAGTCGCTGACTGAGTCGGTGGATCGCACGCGCAGATGCGCAGATGTGCAGATGTTTTGGCTGCTAGGACCATTATGGCGCCCAGGTCCACCTTATTGAAGTGGGCGCAGGGGATGTGGGCCAAGCGGCCTGGTGGTGTTCATCGGCACGCAAAGCCTTCCCCTCCGCCAGATTGGGAAGGCATGGGAAGGTCCTGGTCCGACTGGCGCGATGGCCACGGACACCCAGGCGACGGTGCAAGGCACGGCTTCGGCATGGACCCAGATGAGGACCCCGTGGACAAGCCCCAGGACATCTTGGCCATGATGCGCAGTCATGGATGCAGCCTTGTCGGACCCAATTCCACCCGTCACGACCCTTGGTTTAGATGCTGCCTTACCTCAGATCTCCTGAAAGAAAACTAAAGGAGTTGATGTTTTGAGCCCACGTGATATTCAGAGGCAACCACATCGTGCGCGGCAAGCCTCCGTGGACACCTTGACCTGCTTCGAGCGGCTGGGCACCTGGCCGACGTCGCTCAGCGCTGTGCTTGGTGCGGCTATCACAGAGTACTGGGCCTGGCTCCGATGGCCCTGAAGGTTTGGTCCAAGGCTAGGTCGACGGTTTCGAATGAGTGGCCCTCACCTCATCTATGTCGGCCTTCTGGGATGCAGCAATGGCTGGATCATCCGCAGCCAGAGCGGCGTTGATAAGAGCGGCTTGGACGAAAGCTTACACGAGATGGCGCTTGAGCACGCAGCGCTGCTGCTGAACATGACAAAATTATGTGACATTGCCAGCTTCGTCTTGCTGTTGCACGCCGGCTCCCTCCGATTATTGTGTCCATGGAGATTGGCCTGTACGCGTCACCGAGGCTGCTGAAGAAGCGCAGCATGACCTCGGAGGCTCTGTCGGAATCGCGCCCCATTCTTGCCGGCTCGGGCCATGGAGGGCCGCTGGCCGAGGTGACGCTGCACCGCCTGCTGGACACGGTCCATCGCCAGCGACCTCGGACTGGAGCACGGGGCTACATCGATGGCATTGTCAATGAGGCCGAGGACACGAAGCAGCAGGTGATTCACGAGCTGGACGGCTCCGCGGGGCCCACGGCGAAGGTCCTTCTGGAAGATGGGGCAATTCGGGATCACTGTAGCGCTCCAGGGGGTAGGCTTAAGTCGTGCACGTCCCTCCACAGGAGGAACATTCAAAAATAGTCAAAAAATAGTCTGGGGACTGTTATTTTAGTAGAGGGACCAAAAATAGTCTGGGGACAAAGAATGTCAACAAGTTGTCAAAAAATAGTCTGGGGACAAAAAATAATCAAAAAATACTATGAGCATTTGTTACATATTTGTTGGACCTTTTTTATTGTTCGTCCAACATCCGCCTGTAGGGGGACGCGCCCGGCCTAACGCAAGGCAGAATACCTCCAGCTCGGCCCGAGCGACCGCCCGCGAGGATCCGAGCAGCTCCGCACACAGGGGTCCAGGAGGCGGGCGCTGGAGGGGCAGCCCGCCGCGAGGGAGCCCGCGGCCGCCCCGCGGGGGAGGAGGGAGGAGGAGGAGGAGGAGGAGGAGGAGGAGGAGGACCGAGGGAGGAGGAGGAGGAGGACGAGGAGGAGGAGGAGGAGGAGGAGGAGGAGGAGGAGGAGGGGGGGAGGGAGGGAGGGGGGAGGAGGAGGACGAGGGAGGAGGAGGGAGGAGGGAGAGGAGGAGGAGGAGGAGGAGGAGGAGGAGGAGGATATAGGGAGGAGGATGAGGAGGAGGAGGAGGAGGAGGAGAAGGCGGGCGACGAGGGGCCCCGACGCGTCACGGCGGTCGCCGAGCCGCACGGCAGACGCCGCGGATTGGCACGGAGGGCCCTGCCAGAGCCGCGTCCGAAGGTCTGCCAAGGCCTACCCCCGGGTCGGGCGCGTCCCCCTGCAGGCGGATGTTGGACGAAAAACTGAAAAAAATGTCAAAAAAAATACTTTAAACATATATCCAGCACTACCACAGGAATCGTCCCCAGGCTGTGGTTTGACTATTTTTGAATACTCCTCCTGTAGAGGGACGTGCCCGACTTAAGCCTTGCCTTGGAGAAAGCAGTCGGCCCCACTTGCTACGCGACTGACTCTGTGAGAGTCTTGCTGGCGGTTGGCATGCTGGGCGTGCCGGCGTCCCCAGGGGCCAAAGTGGGGGCCTCTGGGTGCGAGTCTCGCGCGCTCTGGACTGCCAGGACCCTGGGGAGATGTCTGTGCTCTTGGGATTCCCTCCCACAGAGAGGAGGAGCGACAGTTGGTCATTAACACACGTTTGAGGTTCTCCTTCGCCTCGGCAACGTCAGAGCTGGTGTCTGGGCTGGGATTGCGCTCCAGTGGGCCTGGGGCTTGTGGTGCGCGGCTACACCTGGGCTGCGGACGGGCCTCTGGAATACGACGGCGGCACTGGTGAGGTTTAAGGCTAGGCGGGCTCTGCTGATGGCGCTTGAACCATGGGTCGGTGAGAGAACCCCTGGTGTCAAGAAGTCTCACAAACCGTCTAAATTAGACTCTGCTCTCGCCTCCAGTGCTCATGAGCTTGTCTCGTTTGCTGGCCGCTTGAAGTGCAATCGGTGCAGAGCGATTATCCCGAGGAGCCACGTGCTCAGAGTCGCCTCGACTCTGTGCCATCCGTCACTCGTCGAGCGGCTGTATGCAAATCGAGATCTGGTCTTACCTCCTGAGTATGGTGAGGGTTTCGAGGCGATCTCGGAAGAGGTGTGGGTCGGTGCCGTGCGTCTAAACGAGAGCCACCGCCTCGCTAGGATGAATCCGTTTGACCTGACCTTATGCATGCTTTGTGGTTGTACTGCCACAACAGAATGGCAGATGGTTGCAGAAAGAGTGCGCCCCTCCCCACGCGCAAATGGGGGAGAATCTTAAACGAATTCAGAGAGGACTGTTTCCGAACTAATTACCGTGGCCCACCCGCATGAGTGATGGCAGCTATTGCCCTTGATGCTGCGAGCCATGTTCTGTCCTCGTCCCTGGTGGAAGGAACGCCTGGAGGATCTGTCGGGAGCGGCTCCGCAGGCGCTGAGTTCGGGGTTGATCCGTATTTGCGACTTCCCTCCGACCTCCCCCCGAGAGAGTCGGCTGCGAGGATGTCGCTGATGAAGCACCAGGCGGCCCCGCCTGATTCCGCCGATGGCTCTGTTGTGCTGCGTGCTGTGTCTGCTCGCCTCCGTCCCGAGTCGAGCTCGGGCGACGGCGTCGGCAGCAGTTCTGTGCAGGCGGACGTGTGCAGGCTGCGGCGACAGTGACTGAGCGTGTCAGTGAGTGCTGCCCCTCATGGGGGGCCCTGCTGCAGAATCCAACAGGATCCTCCGACCCCGACGCCGACCCCGACCCCGACCCCGACCCCGACGCCGACCCCGACCCCCACCCCGACCCCCACCCCGACGCCGACCGAGGAGGCCCCCCCTCGGGCGGGAGCGGACGCAGCGCGGGTCGCCGCCGGCGCCTGGAGCGTGCGGTCCGGCTCGCACCGTGCCTGGCGGGCGGCGTAGTCGCGCGCGCGCGCGCGGCGCGCGCGCGCGCGGCGCGGAGGCCGACGGCTGCGCCGCGGCCTCGGCCTGCGCGCTTCCAAAGCGTAGCCTGCCCAGGCCCCCCCCCGCGCTGAAACAAAAATCACGACGGGAATGAGCATCGGCTGACCGATCCCCATCCCCAGCGGCGTGGCCTGGGCCCCACTGGCCGATTGACCCCCCTGGATGGGGACATAGGTCGTTCCCTTCGGGTTTCGAGGGGTGTATCCCCAACTGGGGTGGTAGTCTGGTGGGGGTCTCGAAGGGGATGAGAATGGGGATGGGGATCGGTTGACGGATACCGAGGGAAGTTTTTCGCTATTCTCAGCCTCCGGGGGCCCTTGCCAGGCCTCTGGGGGCCGTCAAAAAAAAGGACTCCGGAGGAACAACACCGGTCCCAGGGGGGAGGGGTCCAGACCTCTGGGGGTCGACGCGGTGAAAAAAACACGACGTCGGGGGTCTGGGTGCTCTTACCCATCGCCAACACTAGTTTTAGGTCGGGCGTGTCCCCCTACAGGCGGATGTTGGACGAATATTAAAGAAATTGTAGAGAAATACCCCAACAATTGTCAAACATGGATTTAAAAAAATCGTCCCCTGACTGTTCGTTGACTCTTTTTTGAATAGTCCTCCTGTAGAGAGACAGGCCCGACTTAACCCTAGTTAGAGCACGCACACACACACGCACACACACCATGGGCGACCGCCCCTGGGGGGTGGACGGCAGCATCCCCTTCGCATTCCAGCACCGGCGGCGCCAGCTCCAGGAGGAGCGGGGGGGCACCGATCGCTGGCGGGCGAGGGGAGGAAGACTGCAAAGGAGAGGGCCCTTTCAGAGGGCGGCGGGCTTCTCGGAAGCCATCGCGCCTGCTGAGAGGTTCTCTGCGTCTTCGGGGAAAGCGTAGAAAACGTCTCGGAAGGCCGGGGGACTTCCGAGCCTTCTGAGAAGGCCCGCCCCTTCTCACCTCCCCCGGCCAGAATACCACCTCCGAGGCGGCTGGAGACTCTCCAACTACACTCTTACTTCCCCGGATCAGGACTAAAGATACAGTGGCCGCGGCGCCCGCCGCTCGAGGCGGCTCACGGGCCGAAATGCGTACGGTTCGGGTGCACGCTGCATTGACGTTACCCCTCGTCATGCATTGCTGTCTGACTACTGGTTGCTACTTGCATGCTTTGCAGACCTGGCAAGCCACCCTCAGGCGCGCCAGTGCTAGGAGACGGGTTTCTTGAATTCAAGTAGTAGCTTCTTGAATTCAAGAAAGAAGCCTCCGAGGCGGCAGGACTTTCCAAAGAACTTTCCCAAACCGATGCTGCCGAGGCTGAAAGGGGTCTCGGGAGGACTTCGTTTGAGCGCCCCGCCAAAACTCCAGAGAGCACCCAAGGCCCCTTTAATGGTGGGGGGGGCTCTACATTGCGACACGTACACTCCTCCGAGAGGCCTCTCAAGTGATCTCTACCCTCCAAAGTCCGACACCCGTATCCCTTACAGACCTAAAAGACAAGCTCGTGGGATGGGTGTCCTCACCTAAGTGGGGGGGAGGAGCAGGAAAAGAAGGAAGGAGAAGGGGGAAGAAGAGGGGGAAGAAGGGGGGAAGGGGGGGAGGGGGGAAGGCGGAGCGGGAAGGAGGAGGGGGAAGGAGTGGAGGGTGGAGGGGTGGAGGGGTGGGAGCAAGGGAGGGAGGAGGGGGAAGAAGAAGGGGAAGGGAGGCGGGGGAGGAGCGGGAAACGAGAGGAAGGGGAGGGGAAGAGAGGGGAAGGGGGCAGGAGGAGGGAGAAGAAAGGGGAAACATCACGAGGAGGAGATGTGGAGCCCAGACAGGACTTGGGCGCTCTGCCGCGCACGCGAAGATGCCCCCGATGCGCCAGGCCGCCAGCACGTCACGAACGCTCGCGCAAGGTGCTCTCTCGAAAAAAACGCATGAATTCAGGTACGCGCACGTACGCCTCTGCGTCGCGAATGAAGAGAGAGGCCGCCGAGGGCGTGTGAGAGAGAGAGAGAGAGCGAGAGCGAGAGCAAGCTGCCCCCTGCCCACCAACACGGACATGGGCGACTGGGTGAAGGGCATGCCTAGCAGATGGGGCTGTGTAACAGATGGGGGATACTTCGACAGCGGGAGGGTGTCTAACGCTAGTGTAAGTCAGAGTGAGGGGGCCGAGCGGTCATTCATTGTCCCTGGGTGCGTGGCTGAAGTGGGGATCCGTGGTGGGGATTCAGCTTGTTGTTGTTGTCGTCGTCCCCCCGCGACCCACCCCGCGACCCACCCGCGACCCACCCCGCGACCCACCCCGCGACCCACCCTGCGACCCGCCCCGCGACCCACCCCGCGACCCACCCCGCGACCCACCCCGCGACCCACCCCGCGACCCACCCCGCGACCCACCCCGTGACCCGCCCGCGACCCACCCCGCGACCCACCCCGCGACCCACCCCGCGACCCACCCCGCGACCCACCCCGTGACCCCCCCGCGACCCCCCCGCGACCCACCCCGCGACCCATCCGCGACCGGGCCCGAGACCCACCCGCGACCCACCCGCGACCCACCCCGCGATCCACCGAAATTGTTTTAACGGAAAAAATTGGCGCTGCGGCGGGTTCACTGCATAATTTGTAAAAGTTAGGCGCCTGCGGCGGGTTTCTTCAGAGCCTCGCAAACTGACGACGTCCTCGCCGCCCCCTCACTCTTATCCGCAACTGCAGGGTGCTACGTAGTCGGCTGGTTTGGCGACTGACACGTAAGGCAGAGGGTGGGGTGTAACAGAAGGACCAGTTCAAGCATCCGAGAAAGGTTGAAGCGGCTGGGGGGAAACATGCGTTACTTACCAGTGGGGACCTGTGTTACCGCGGGGATAGGTGCAGCATGAAGACTTACTTGGCCATGGGGGGACATGCGCAGTAAAGGGCGCAATGCCACGAAAGGGGCCTGTGCTGCTGCGCAGGCTGGCAAGGCCTGACAGGCTGACAACACGACCGCGGGACCACCAGACCACTGGACCACCACCAGACCACCCCACTAGGCCACTGGACCGTGAGAGGCAGCGATAGGAGGGACTGGCAAAGAGGGGAGACATCGACCTGGAGTCGGCGAGACGTCGCCGATAGATCGGCGATGGGACCCCGTTTGCAAGTGCACACGGTCCTGGGCAGTTTGGGACTATCGGACCATAATCGCCGATCAAGGGGCGGTTGGGGGTCGATGCGCCCACCCCTGAGCCTGTCGCGGCCCCTGAGACCACCAGGCTACCAGACCACCAGACCAGACCAGGGCACCACCGAATCACCGAGCCGCCAAACTGCTGGGCCCTACTG